ACTATAAGAGCCAGAGCAACAAAAATATTTCAAAACTTTGCCCCGCCCACTTCCGCCCCCACAAAGGGCGAAAATCTGTGGCATCCACAATTTTAAAGATACGATACAACCAAAAACGCAGAATCGTAGAGAATGACCATATCTTTTAGACTGCGAAATCTCAATTGGATCGTATTATTATTATAGCCAGCATCAAGAAAACAATTTCATTTTTTCTCGCCCTGTCTCTCTCTAACACACACTTAGCATATGCGGCTTTGCTTAGAGTAAAACATTAGCGCCTAGATCTCAGAGACTATAAAAGCTGGAGCAACCAAATTTGGTATCCACACTCCTAATATACCAGACCGAGACGAGTTTGTTTCAAAATTTCGCCACACCCCCTTCCGCCCCCGCAAAGGATGCAAATCTGGGGATATTCACAAATCTCAGAGACTATTAAAGCTAGAGTAACCAAATTTGGTATCCGCACTTCTGTTAGATCTCACTATAAAACGTATATCTCAAAATTTAGCCCCACCCCCTTCCGCCCACACAAAGGACGAAAATCTGTTGCATCCACAATATTGCAGATTTGAGAAAACTAAAAACGCAGAATCATAGATAACGACCATATCTATCAGATTGCTGAATCTGGATCAGATCAGATCATTTTTATAGCGAAAGGAAACAAATCAATTTGCACTGGCTACGCAGCGCCCGACGTCACGCTCAGACTGATTTTCTGTCTCTCTCGCACGCACTCTTTGTCGTGAATTGAATTATCCGTCGTTGAATTATCCGACAATGAACAATTTAAAAGTTTGGGATGCCAAAATCCTGAACGCGCCGTCGTAGAAATATCCGACATACAAAGTTATGCAAATTCTGAATTGAAAAAAATGAAATTGTATAACGCAATAACCTACAAAGAGGACAATTTAGAAAATCTCAGAGAGAAAATGGTATCTATCATCGAAGAAGACCATGCCAATATAAATTTACAGTTACCGTTCAGAACGGATATAAAAGGAGAGATTAACACTGAACATGATAGACCGGTATATGGCAAGCAGTATCCATACGCTTATTCGGTTAACGATTTCGTTAATAACGAAATAAGTAAAATGTTAGATGAAGGTATAATCAGACCTAGTAAAAGCCCATATAATTCACCGGTAATAGTAGTACCAAAGAAGGGAGTAAACGAGGACGGAACTCCTAAACATAGATTAGTAATAGACGTTAAGAAACTTAATGAAAACACCATTACCTTGCCAATTTAGGTAAGGCAAAGTATTTCTCGGCCATTGATCTAGAGTCAGGTTTCTATCAGATTTAATGAGGGAATCAGATATTGAAAAAACATCTTTTTCCATAAATAACGGCAAATATGAATTTCTAAGAATGCCTATGGGATTGACGAACGCTCCCAGAATTTTCCAAAGGGCAATGGACGATATACTTAGAGAACAAGTTGGGAAAACTTGTCACGTCTATATGGACGATATAATAATATTTTCAAAAACTATAGAACAACATTATGATTTCAACATCCAAATGTTGAAACGTTGGTATTACTTCATAGAAAGTTTCACACCAAAAATCATTTATAAGCCAGGCTCAACTAACGTAGTAGCGGACGCTTTATCTCGCATTAAAATAAATCATATGACAGATAGTGATGTCGACCAGACAGAATCAGAATCAGACATAAATACTCAGCATTCAGCAGAGAGTAGTTTTGAAAACGTCATTCAAGAGACTAGCAAGCCTCTAAACCAATTTAAACAGCAGCTACTATTAGCGCAAGGGAGATTCACAGTTCATGAGTTAGTAAGAGTTTATGAAAATACCCGACATATTATTGAATTTGATACGGTTGACAATCTGCTAATCATTTTAAAAGAATTTATTCAGCCTCACTTAACCACAGGAATACACTGCACTTTAGAAGATTTATACCTTATCCAAAATAAGCTAAAGGAAAACTTCATAAATAAATTTCTCTTCACGAGAAAGTTCCTCCAAGATGTAGTAAATTCAGAAGATAAAGCTATAATTATAGAAGAAACACATTGCAGAGCCCATAGAGGACTAGACGAAAATTACAAACAAATAACTAAGTTGTATTATTGGCCAAACCTGCACAAAAAATTAAAAGAATATATAAAAAATTGTGAGATCTGTAACAAAAACAAATATCACAGATACCCTGTAAAAATTCCAATTGGGGAAGCTCCCATTCCATCAAAAGAAGGAGATCAATTACACTTAGACATATACTATGCCCAAAACCTAACATTCATAACTTGTATAGATTCTTATTCCAAATACTTGGTGGTCAAGGAAATTCAAAGTAAATTAAACATTGAATATAAGGTAATGGAAGTTTTGCAACACTTTCCGTTAGCAACATCATTAATGACTGACAACGAACCAAGCTTTACTTCAGCACAATTTAGATCATTCATACAAAGAAGTAACTTAACTATTCATTATGTCTGGGAAGACACAGCACCTCAAATGGTCAGGTAGAAAGGGTACATTCCACACTAACAGAAATAGCGCGGTGCATCAAGGATGAACTAAATCTAACAGATTATTCAGAAATAATAATAAGGGCGGCACTGAAATATAACCTGACGATACATTCAACGACCAATCAAATGCCATATGACATATTGTATAACAAAATAGAACACAAACATAATCCAATATTACTTAAGGAAGCTCAGACCAAAATGCTTAAGCTACATAACAAAGAAAGAAGAGAAAAAGATTATAAAATAGGAGAAGTAGTTTATGAAAAGAAATTCGGGGAAAGAAATAAACTTCAATCCCGATACAAAAAGCAGGTAGTTAAGGAAAATCGACCGAATAAAATTATAATCAACAATAGAAACAGAATTATACATAAAGATAACATCAAATATATATTTTTTCCAGAAAATGTATGCGAATATACTTATACTGACTTTTGACGACTTCGGAAGTAATTGACTATACGCATAGTGACTATCTATTGCTCAAAGACGACAGAGACGTTTACACTTATGAAACATACGCTGAACTTTTCTATATTACTAATTTGAGTTTTTATAGAGAGATAATTGATAAAGAATCCAAATATGTCAACAAATCAATTAATTCAGACGATGAGTGGGAAATATCAATGGACTTAAGTCTATTAAAATTAATGATTTCAGAATTAGTTCCAAAACGGAATGAAAGGGGAATTAATGAATTAGGTACCATTTGGAAATGGATAGCAGGCAGCCCTGATCATGACGACTTTTTGAAAATACAAAATAAAGTAAATGAATTAACTGAAAATAATAATAAACAACTTGTAATAAATTCCAAATTTTTCAACGAAATTGAATTGCTATCAAATTCATTAAAAAATGTCATCTTCAATGAAGAAACGATACTGAGAAAGCATCGTTTAAAATTAATAACTTTTGACCTACTAAATTTAGTTGATACCATAACCCTCTTAAAAGTAAACATTTTCAATACAAAAATTTTAAATAAAAACGAAATAGAGGACATTAATAAGCATGAAAAACATCCTGTTGAACTGTCTGATCTGCTGGACATTGCAACGGTTAAAATAATTCGAAATGCAGATTTAATAATCATTTACATAAAATATCCTCAAATTAAAGATATTTGCAAGTTTTACCATGCAAGAGCCATCTCACAAAATGATGGAATGTTAGTTATAAGTGAAAAAGTTTGTGAATGTAAGGAGAAATACTATTTAATGAATAATTTTAAAAGTGAAACTTTTAACAATTACGCACAAATAAATTTAAAGAAGACCTGTTTCACCAATTTTCTTAATGGCTTTAAAGCCAACTGCACTAAAAAGAGGGAAAAAAACAAAGAAATAGACATCATTCAGGATGGTGCCATATTAGTTTCAGGCAAAAATATCGTAGACAATACGAAAAGTGGATGTGTGTAACGTCCAGAAGGAATCGTTTCCGACCCCATAAAGTATATATATTCTTGATCAGCATCAATAGCCGAGTCGATTGAGTTATGTCTGTCTGTCCGTCTGTCCGTCCCCTTCAGCGCCTAATGCTCAAAGACTATAAGAGCTAGAGCAACGATGTTTTGGATCCAGACTTCTGTGATATGTCACTGCTCCAAAAATATTTCAAAACTTTGCCCCGCCCACTTCCGCCCCCACAAAGGGCGAAAATCTATGGCATCCACAATTTCGACGATACGAAAAAACTAAAATCGCAGAATCGTAGAAGATGACTATATCTTCTAGAGCGCAAAATCTGAATCAGATCGTATAATTATTACAGCCAGAATCACGAAAACAATTTCACTCTTTCTCGCTCTGTCTCGCTCTATCCATCGATTGTCGTCGTACAGTTTCGTTTGCGATCATCGTCATAAATTAGTCTGCATATTAAGCGGCATTTATAGAGCTATTGGAATTGCCATTCGCAGGAAGTTCACTTGTCCGACATCTGGTTGGCCGTTTAGAAAAATGTGCAATTGTTTAGCCAAAATTTATAGCGCAAGGAACCAGAAGAACATATATCTTAGGACCCAGACACGAACCACCGATCATGTTCGAGCATTTATGCTAATTAAGATTCTGGTTCTCCTCCGATTTATGGCTGAAATATTTAAGTAAAAGTGTGCTGGCTGGGCTCTAAACTTAGCATCAATTAATGGACGCGAACTTTGATATTTGGGATGCCAAAAGATGGGACACACAGAGAATCATAATTTACTAAACGTACCATTTATTATATAAGATCGCTTTCGACATCGTTGTGTTCTCAATTAACTTAACATCGAAGGCAACACAGCCAGGCGCGTTGCTCCGATTCTTAGGATATTGTGTCAGACTAAGAACTAACTAAGAACTGAGTCTAGGTATAGGATTCTACATAGAGCTATTAATTCATAATTCATGTTTTCAGGCACTCAGATTACTCACTAACAAAAGGATTATCTTCTCGTTCAGGCAAAAAAAAAAATGTAGGCTATAATGGTAAATTGGTTACATATCAAGTGCTTAGACTATGTGTAGACCAGTGCTGATCTACTCCAGTTACTCCTCCTCTACTTTCCTTTCCAGATGGGTAATGACAACGGAATTTTCTCGACTTACGCTAAGGAACTAGATCGTAGAACTATATCTAGGAATGCTCTGCTCTTTCACTATGTACAGTTCGGAACTAGAAGATACACTTTGCATATGGGCATAATTCGTTATTCGTAGCTTATCGATAGGTCTGTGCTTCAGATGCAATACTCGTACAGCTTACAGATACAGATACGTTTCTTTTGGATGCAACAAGTCTTTTTGAATGTGAATGCTTCGTTTTCTCCTCCTCTCCATGCGCTCCTTGCGCTTCCGTCCTTCGGTTCACAGTTCCGTGGAATACTCTTCTGGATTGACGTTGAACTTCCGCCAGCAAATGTGATCCCCGGCCGCGGCGGATGTCGGCGGTGGCAGCTTGCCGTTTACATTGACCACTGAGCTGGCCGACCGCTTGATATGGACTCTGGGCGGTGGTGGCGGCTGGCTGGGTACTAGGCAGCCCGTGGAACGGCCCAGCGGATTCCTGGACATGGCCAAGGCCGAGTTGTTGTTGGTCTTGCCGTTCCCGTATGTGATGGATTCGTTGGAGGGCGAAATCTCGATGCGGGTGGCGTGGCCGGAGCCGGTGCCTCCATCGGATAGGCGCCGGATGTAGACTACCTCGCTGTGCTTCTCCACTGTGGTACCCCCCGCCGGTGTCGGTGGAGGCAGCCGTGTCAGGGTCTGGGGCTGGGCCGTCTGGCGCATCCGCTGAGAGTACCTCATCGGCTTGGCATCATTGGCTTGGAATGGCACATACTGCTGTTGCGTGATGCCCGGAAACTTGTCCACGCTGATGTCCTCCTCGATGGCTGAGTCCCCGAACATGGAGCCGCTGTAGTTGGGCGAACTGTTGCCCGGGGTGGAGGATTTCCAGTGGGGCTGGTGCATCGGTGTCTGCGTCTGCCCGCCGTTCTGGACGCCGTATTTCTGGGCACCCGAGTACTGCCCCTTTTTGATGGAGTGCGTGTAGTCGCGAGTGCCGCGTCGGCGCAGGGTGAAGTCCCGCCGGCCCGTGTCCTGGCAGACAGAGCGCCATTGCTTCCATGAGTGACGGGCCAGGGGATCTGCGGGACCCCACTCCTTGGCCGGCTTGGAGGCTTCACAGATCATGCCGAAGAAGTTGTACTCCACTTGGCGGAAGATCTGGATGCAGGCAATGATGAGGATCACGGCCAGGACGAACAGTATGGGAGCCCAGCGCGGCAGGTACTCCGCCAGCAGATCATACTGGTCGTCGTCGGCACACCACCAGACGAGGATGCCCGTCAGAACGGCCGGACATGTGACCCAAAGAAACATCCAGACCTTGAAAATGGGCCGACCGATGGAGAACTCCAGATCGGTGTAGATGTTCTTGGCTCCGTAGATCCAAGTTATGGCGATCAGCTCAAAGACCAGGGCCGTCACAACCATGGTGCCCACCAGGCGCGAGTCCAGCACCCGAGCTATGATAAACTTGGGCGCCGCAAAGGACATGACGGCCACGACGAGAGCGATCATAATCCTTTCGGCCATGGTGTCCATCACCGTGGCCGTGTACACCTCGACGCGCCTGGTGCCGCGTCGTCCAAAAAGGATCAAAACTTTGCCCCGCCCACTTCCGCCCCCACAAAGGGCGAAAATCTATGGCATCCACAATTTCGACGATACGAAAAAACTAAAAACGCAGAATCGTAGAAGATGACTATATCTTCTAGAGTGCAAAATCTGAACCAGATCGTATAATTATTACAGCCAGAATCACGAAAACAATTTCACTCTTTCTCGCTCTGTCTCACTCTAACACACAGGTTTCATGGTCGGTTTTGCCAATTGCAAAATATGTTCAAGGATCTCAGAACCCATAAGAGCTAGAGCAACCAAATTTGGTATCCACACTCCTGTGATATCGGACCTTGACCGTTTTGTGTCAAAATTTCGCCACACCCTCTTCCGCCCCCGCAAAGGACGAAAATCTGAGGCAACCACAAATCTCAGAGACTATTAAGGCTAGAGTAACCAAATTTGGTACACACTCTCCTTTAAGATGTCACTATAAAACGTATATCTCAGAATTTCGCCCCACCCCCTTCCGACCCCACAAAGGACGAGAATCTGTTGCATCCACAATATTGCAGATTCGAGAAAACTAAAAACGCAGAATCATAGAGAATGGCCATATCTATCAGATTGCTGAGTCTGGATCAGATCAGATAATTTTTATAGCCAAAAGGAACAAATCAATTTGCATTGGCTACGCAGCGCCCGACGTCACGCTCAGACTGATTTTCTGTCTCTCTCGCACGCACTCTTTGTCGTGAATTGAATTATCCGTCGTTGAATTATCCGACAATGAACAATTTAAAAGTTTGGGATGCCAAAATCCTGAACGCGCCGTCGTAGAAATATCCGACATACAAAGTTATGCAAATTCTGAATTGAAAAAAATGAAATTGTATAACGCAATAACCTACAAAGAGGACAATTTAGAAAATCTCAGAGAGAAAATGGTATCTATCATCGAAGAAGACCATGCCAATATAAATTTACAGTTACCGTTCAGAACGGATATAAAAGGAGAGATTAACACTGAACATGATAGACCGGTATATGGCAAGCAGTATCCATACGCTTATTCGGTTAACGATTTCGTTAATAACGAAATAAGTAAAATGTTAGATGAAGGTATAATCAGACCTAGTAAAAGCCCATATAATTCACCGGTAATAGTAGTACCAAAGAAGGGAGTAAACGAGGACGGAACTCCTAAACATAGATTAGTAATAGACGTTAAGAAACTTAATGAAAACACCATTACCTTGCCAATTTAGGTAAGTATTTCTCGGCCATTGATCTAGAGTCAGGTTTCTATCAGATTTAATGAGGGAATCAGATATTGAAAAAACATCTTTTTCCATAAATAACGGCAAATATGAATTTCTAAGAATGCCTATGGGATTGACGAACGCTCCCAGAATTTTCCAAAGGGCAATGGACGATATACTTAGAGAACAAGTTGGGAAAACTTGTCACGTCTATATGGACGATATAATAATATTTTCAAAAACTATAGAACAACATTATGATTTCAACATCCAAATGTTGAAACGTTGGTATTACTTCATAGAAAGTTTCACACCAAAAATCATTTATAAGCCAGGCTCAACTAACGTAGTAGCGGACGCTTTATCTCGCATTAAAATAAATCATATGACAGATAGTGATGTCGACCAGACAGAATCAGAATCAGACATAAATACTCAGCATTCAGCAGAGAGTAGTTTTGAAAACGTCATTCAAGAGACTAGCAAGCCTCTAAACCAATTTAAACAGCAGCTACTATTAGCGCAAGGGAGATTCACAGTTCATGAGTTAGTAAGAGTTTATGAAAATACCCGACATATTATTGAATTTGATACGGTTGACAATCTGCTAATCATTTTAAAAGAATTTATTCAGCCTCACTTAACCACAGGAATACACTGCACTTTAGAAGATTTATACCTTATCCAAAATAAGCTAAAGGAAAACTTCATAAATAAATTTCTCTTCACGAGAAAGTTCCTCCAAGATGTAGTAAATTCAGAAGATAAAGCTATAATTATAGAAGAAACACATTGCAGAGCCCATAGAGGACTAGACGAAAATTACAAACAAATAACTAAGTTGTATTATTGGCCAAACCTGCACAAAAAATTAAAAGAATATATAAAAAATTGTGAGATCTGTAACAAAAACAAATATCACAGATACCCTGTAAAAATTCCAATTGGGGAAGCTCCCATTCCATCAAAAGAAGGAGATCAATTACACTTAGACATATACTATGCCCAAAACCTAACATTCATAACTTGTATAGATTCTTATTCCAAATACTTGGTGGTCAAGGAAATTCAAAGTAAATTAAACATTGAATATAAGGTAATGGAAGTTTTGCAACACTTTCCGTTAGCAACATCATTAATGACTGACAACGAACCAAGCTTTACTTCAGCACAATTTAGATCATTCATACAAAGAAGTAACTTAACTATTCATTATGTCTGGGAAGACACAGCACCTCAAATGGTCAGGTAGAAAGGGTACATTCCACACTAACAGAAATAGCGCGGTGCATCAAGGATGAACTAAATCTAACAGATTATTCAGAAATAATAATAAGGGCGGCACTGAAATATAACCTGACGATACATTCAACGACCAATCAAATGCCATATGACATATTGTATAACAAAATAGAACACAAACATAATCCAATATTACTTAAGGAAGCTCAGACCAAAATGCTTAAGCTACATAACAAAGAAAGAAGAGAAAAAGATTATAAAATAGGAGAAGTAGTTTATGAAAAGAAATTCGGGGAAAGAAATAAACTTCAATCCCGATACAAAAAGCAGGTAGTTAAGGAAAATCGACCGAATAAAATTATAATCAACAATAGAAACAGAATTATACATAAAGATAACATCAAATATATATTTTTTCCAGAAAATGTATGCGAATATACTTATACTGACTTTTGACGACTTCGGAAGTAATTGACTATACGCATAGTGACTATCTATTGCTCAAAGACGACAGAGACGTTTACACTTATGAAACATACGCTGAACTTTTCTATATTACTAATTTGAGTTTTTATAGAGAGATAATTGATAAAGAATCCAAATATGTCAACAAATCAATTAATTCAGACGATGAGTGGGAAATATCAATGGACTTAAGTCTATTAAAATTAATGATTTCAGAATTAGTTCCAAAACGGAATGAAAGGGGAATTAATGAATTAGGTACCATTTGGAAATGGATAGCAGGCAGCCCTGATCATGACGACTTTTTGAAAATACAAAATAAAGTAAATGAATTAACTGAAAATAATAATAAACAACTTGTAATAAATTCCAAATTTTTCAACGAAATTGAATTGCTATCAAATTCATTAAAAAATGTCATCTTCAATGAAGAAACGATACTGAGAAAGCATCGTTTAAAATTAATAACTTTTGACCTACTAAATTTAGTTGATACCATAACCCTCTTAAAAGTAAACATTTTCAATACAAAAATTTTAAATAAAAACGAAATAGAGGACATTAATAAGCATGAAAAACATCCTGTTGAACTGTCTGATCTGCTGGACATTGCAACGGTTAAAATAATTCGAAATGCAGATTTAATAATCATTTACATAAAATATCCTCAAATTAAAGATATTTGCAAGTTTTACCATGCAAGAGCCATCTCACAAAATGATGGAATGTTAGTTATAAGTGAAAAAGTTTGTGAATGTAAGGAGAAATACTATTTAATGAATAATTTTAAAAGTGAAACTTTTAACAATTACGCACAAATAAATTTAAAGAAGACCTGTTTCACCAATTTTCTTAATGGCTTTAAAGCCAACTGCACTAAAAAGAGGGAAAAAAACAAAGAAATAGACATCATTCAGGATGGTGCCATATTAGTTTCAGGCAAAAATATCGTAGACAATACGAAAAGTGGATGTGTGTAACGTCCAGAAGGAATCGTTTCCGACCCCATAAAGTATATATATTCTTGATCAGCATCAATAGCCGAGTCGATTGAGTTATGTCTGTCTGTCCGTCTGTCCGTCCCCTTCAGCGCCTAATGCTCAAAGACTATAAGAGCTAGAGCAACGATGTTTTGGATCCAGACTTCTGTGATATGTCACTGCTCCAAAAATATTTCAAAACTTTGCCCCGCCCACTTCCGCCCCCACAAAGGGCGAAAATCTATGGCATCCACAATTTCGACGATACGAAAAAACTAAAATCGCAGAATCGTAGAAGATGACTATATCTTCTAGAGCGCAAAATCTGAATCAGATCGTATAATTATTACAGCCAGAATCACGAAAACAATTTCACTCTTTCTCGCTCTGTCTCGCTCTATCCATCGATTGTCGTCGTACAGTTTCGTTTGCGATCATCGTCATAAATTAGTCTGCATATTAAGCGGCATTTATAGAGCTATTGGAATTGCCATTCGCAGGAAGTTCACTTGTCCGACATCTGGTTGGCCGTTTAGAAAAATGTGCAATTGTTTAGCCAAAATTTATAGCGCAAGGAACCAGAAGAACATATATCTTAGGACCCAGACACGAACCACCGATCATGTTCGAGCATTTATGCTAATTAAGATTCTGGTTCTCCTCCGATTTATGGCTGAAATATTTAAGTAAAAGTGTGCTGGCTGGGCTCTAAACTTAGCATCAATTAATGGACGCGAACTTTGATATTTGGGATGCCAAAAGATGGGACACACAGAGAATCATAATTTACTAAACGTACCATTTATTATATAAGATCGCTTTCGACATCGTTGTGTTCTCAATTAACTTAACATCGAAGGCAACACAGCCAGGCGCGTTGCTCCGATTCTTAGGATATTGTGTCAGACTAAGAACTAACTAAGAACTGAGTCTAGGTATAGGATTCTACATAGAGCTATTAATTCATAATTCATGTTTTCAGGCACTCAGATTACTCACTAACAAAAGA